CAGTAATCTACAAAACACTAAACAGAAATATAAAAATATTATTATATTATATTAAGTTGTGTTCACCATTATTCATATTATATTCTGCTTAAAAATAAAGGGAACACCAACACAATCTAACTACACCAAGTTCTTGCTCAATTTTTATTATTTCCGGCTTATCCCGTCCAAAGTACTTCACTTTAAGTTTCTCCTCATATATTCTGCTTTGAAAAGGTTTACATATAGAGGACTTATGGTGTAGTTTTTCTCCTCCATTTCTCATTTGTTGTTCTCCAAAATCCACCTCGTATTGCCCTGCCGGCTGCCACCTTATGACGTTGAGTCGTCGACACCAGGTGGATCCATCTACTACTGGTGTGTGTTCGCAGGTCAGCTGCGAACCCAGGCCATCCTATTCTTTTGCACTGAGGACTTACTGCACATGTCCAAAATCTTCACGAGTTGTGTATGGCAATCTGGGGCGACGAACACAGTGTGACCTGGAAGTGACTTGCACGAAAACGCTCATGAGTAAAATGGAAGTTTACACATCAATAACTATAAATTATTTATTTTGCTTATTAGGAAACATATATACAATATTTTGTCGGACCATTTATAACATTTTCTTTTGTTATTTTCTTTTATTTAAATTTTATTTTTGTGTACCAAAAATAGAGGGGAGGTGGCGAACATGCACCCCCTTTTGACCAGCCGCCACTGTTAGGTTAATTGATAACTCTAAATTGTCCCTAGGTGCATAGGTGTAATTAGCAGGGGGGTTGGGGGGGTTATGACCCCCCATTAATTTGATCGTCAAAATACCCCCCCCCCCCCCCACACACACACACACAAAAAAAAGAAAAAAAGAAAATGACATCATTTGCTCAAACACAATATAAATGAACTGGTTAAGTAGACAGATGCAACTCTCATGTAGTAACTTTAACCTGATTAAAGAATTTATGAAGTCATAGATATACGTTTAAGCTTAAATGCTAAAAATGACAGAGTTTTAGAGCACTCAATGTTGGACCTAAAGTTATGCCCATGCCTAGGTGTGAGAGTGAATGGTTGTTTGTCTCGTTTGTCTCTATGTGTGGCCCTGTGATGGACTTGCGACCTGTCCAGGGTGTACCCCGCCCCTCGCACT